TCTCCTGAGTGCTTTCAGCCCAGTTCCTCCGATGACGTCACTAGAAGCTCGACCCAGATCCCACTTTGCGGGATCGTGGCTGCAGAAATGACAACTTTAAACGCCCGAAGAAACGCGGGCATCTTATCAATCGAGATATTTTTTTTCGCTGAAGTAACTAGCAAAACTAGTAGATTTCTTGAAGGAAAAGCAAAATTGGGGTTACTGGCACTTAAATTTCTTTAAAATTTTCATAAAGTTTGTAACTGCAAAACCTGGTATAATTTTTAAATCGATCGGATAAAAGAAAAACTGGTACAAAGTTAATTGAAAATTTTAAGGCATGATAGAGAGAAGCTTTTGACACCACTGAAGACATAAAATATGCCCGTTCTTGTGGTAAGTTAAGAGCTAAACCTTGTGAAATGTAAAAAAAAATGCTCGGGAAATAAATTTTGACGTCTACAACCAAAACCTCGAAACATGGACATGTATTTAATAGTACATTTGTTCTGGAATTAATTTTTCTGCTTTTTGACACATTCCAGACCTCAAATCAATCCCAAGCTACTGAGGTGACAACCGAGAGTTCTGAGTGGAAAGCAGTTGGTCCTGCAGACCGCTCGACCTTACCTCCGAATATTTTGACCTTCTGTGGCTCTTTTCGAATCTATGAAATCGAATTAGAAGAAAACCCTTCGGACGACGCGGCACTGAGCCAGGACTCTGGTGAGAAAACATATAATATAATAATACAACGTGACGTAATACCGTAAAAAATCCGGGTTATAGGCCTTGCAGTTATACAACTTCATAAATCCCAGGGGTTTTAAACGGGGGGCCTTTATAAGCGGGAAGAATCACACACAAAAAAATTCGAAATAAGCCGATGAAACTTATATCCAGCGTTGTAAAAATTAAAGATGTTTCATGTTCATGGCAACAGCAAACACAAGGCACAAGTATACACGAAGCACAGAGTATTTTTGTTTTGAATACCTATATATGAGGAGCTTAGAACCGGAACTGAGAACGATATTAGTAACATTTTGATATCATGTACTGAGTTTGATGTCATTAAGATTTAACCTCACTTGCTGGCTATGTAAGTGTCATGTTATGCAGCTCAGTCCAGTACAGTAAGTGTAACGTTATTCTCTTACAACTATTGAGAGCTAAGCACTGTTCAGTTTCAGTGCTATTGAGGCTTTAGGCTAACCAACAAAAATAACCCTCTTATTACGCCATTGTCCTTTCGCCGTTACGCGGTTAACTAGGAACTAAAATCAATCGGGCACGATTGATTGTCCCAAGAGATTATACCGATGTATCAACCTAGGATTTGGCTGTTTTTGGAAGCCAATTTCTTTTTCAATATTACAGTCTGAGAGCTAAAACGATCACTGATTACTAAGGTTCACAAGTTTTTTAAAGTTCGTTTGGAATCAGCTCGTATCTAGCATTATGCCTTCCGGTTACACAAACTCCTTCGTCAATGAGAAAAATAGGTACACAATGTGTACGTACGTGTGCCTACGCCTTATAAAATTGATTGAAAACAACTCAGTATATATATATGCATTTCATCAACTCAAATATGCTATCATTACTAACAAAACATACAATCTTATTACAACAAAAACCCGACGCAAAATGCCATTGCCCACAATATCTATATCACCAATTCCCATTACTCTGCATTACTCCTAGCCAGAATTAAATAATTCATTTTTAAAACAAAATTTATCTCTGGTGACAGAAAAAAAGAAAAAAGAAAACTTTACAGTTTTCACGTATCAACAATGGCACTCCAACTATTCGTTTACACCATAAATCACAGAGTTTCCTTTTAAAGTATAACACTCGCCGTTACGTAATACGTCGTAGATCTGAAAAGCGATCTGTCGCGACCTATCACACAACAAGAGAACAGTAGAACAAAAGTTTCCTTCTTTATATCAAAACTGCTATTTTTGGTGTACCAAAGAACTGTTATGGTTTCCCCTGCCTAGTGGCTTCGGCATATGCGCGTGTAGTCACAAAAAATGTGAAAAATGACGTCAGGAAAGATTCCACCATACCTATGGACTATTTCTTTTAAATGGAAAACTAAATTCCGTTTTAGTTATAAATGATTTTGCTTTAAGTGGTAGTCTCAGCACTAGCTTAAAATTCCTAAAATTCCGAAACAGTTTTACTCTTGACAGAATATCTAATGACATTTTTGTAACTGATCTGCCGATACAATTCTGTAAAGGAAAGGAAGAACATTACACACTCTGACTGTTTGGGTCAATACTATGCGCTTTTACAAAGAAAATACACTAGACATCAAGAAATTAGCCTATAGTATTTCTAACTGAATGTTATTAAAATTTCGGGATTACATTCAAACGAATATTTCAGTAACAATTCTGATATTGTTTTTTTCTCAGGTCCAAAGCGGAGCAAGCGGTGGTCATGCTATCAAACACGTTGCTGTTACTACATTTACAAATGCCGTTATTATTATTACGGGGGCTATCGCACATGTATATGCGGTCGAGTTTTGTATTGTCATTACATTTTCCGTTGTCCATGGCCCGTGGCCTATTAGTATAATCTGACTTTCCCCTCCTGCCAACTTTAAGCCGTTTGATGCTTTGTAATACAAAACAACCAGTGATCGACGAAACAATGTCTGTAAGTGTCAATGTTCAAAGTTGAATCAAGTTGGAGGAGGAGTGGAAGTGGGATTTTCTCAATAAACGATTTCCGAGGTGTGATTATTTTGCTTAGATAAAGAGAAGCACCCAGCAGTTTTTCACAATGCTTCAGTAATGTTCGAAACGTTAGATTGCTAGAACAGAGTGTTCAGGCTACTTTAGTTGATCTTAACGAGTGAAAAAGATGCATTAATCTCACTTGCTGTAGAAATATATTTTGAAGGTCAATAAACGTTGCAATTTTGTCCAAGTTAATAGTATTTGTATATGTTTCACTTGCGCGAAAACAAACCAGGTCCTTTATTTCAAAAAATTGGAATATTTCCCAGCAGTGAATATGAACTGATTCCTTGCCCACAGACTCTAGAGTCAAGCCTGCTTGGACGCGAGAGAAGTGTTTTTAGAGCTAATAGACGACAAATTGAATGTTTGCAACAAAAGTGCAAAGCTCACAGCTCATATTGATGGTGGCCTATCGCAAATAATTGATTAGGAATGTTTTTTTTCGTAGTCAAAAAGCCTCTATTATTAGAAATTATTCTTTTTAACCTTTAATACTCTTTATGTTAGGTTTTATTCGAATGTAACAAAACAGCTGAACTTGTCGCTTCCAATCTACAAGTAACTTCCTTGTTGATTATCTATCAGTCTAATTAATTTTTACATGCGACTAACGGTGACGATTTCGGATGAAACATTAGCAGCGTGTAAAACAATATTAATATAGCACTTTCTTATAAGTATTAAAGGAGACATTCAGTTTCGAAAGATTACTTAGTAGAACATCTCAACCCTTCTGGTATGGATTTTTCTTCCTTCATTCACGTCATACAGCAGGTGCCCTAAATGTAAAAATACCAACGCCAATTTGCAGTAGCAAGCGAGCTTGTACCGTGTAATCGGACTCTCTCCTGATTTTCTACTGAAGATTGCAGAATATCCTTTGATTATTTAACCAAATTTTATAATAAAAAATTGCTTTTCTGCCTCTTTTGCATCCCGCGGTGCAGGAAACGGTTAAAAAATACGCTAATTGGCAACATCCCTATGAGAGATCATATTACGAACGTCACGCAAAGTGAGTGGATTAGACTAGGTAGGAAAATTACAAAAACACAGTGTCTTGCAAAGCGAAATGTTCTGTTTTCATTCAGATCCCTACCAGTATGATGATTGTAAGGGCGATGAGAACGTTAACGAAATATTGGTGCAAACCAGTTCAAAGGTACCTGAATACTGTGGTCTCGTCAATGTGCAATAACACGTACTTGTGTTGAAGTGGAGCGACCCGAAAAACTTGCAAATTTCAACTTCTGAATCGCCCTTAAATCTCCTCTCCGATGAAGTCATTTTGGCGTGCGGCAAAAACGAAAAGCAAGCAATTCAACCAACTAACCCGGTTTCATTAGATACTCACGAAGTCCTTTCGTTCCACAAAATAAAAAGGCAAACGTTTTTCTGACCTGACTTTGACCGGACCGCTCTTAAGCGGACTGCCACTTAAATTGCTCCCTCATTCCGATACAGTTTTTACATTTTTTTTTCAGGTAACCAGACCTTCAACTCTCCCAAAATGCACTGGGCCTGGGTTCGTCTTGCAGTTTCCATCCAGTTTGCATTCGCTTTTTTATCGACTTATTTTGGATTTCTAGCTGGGGCTGGCTGGAAAAAATAGCAAACAAGTTTTCAAAACGGCAATAGAGCATCTGATTATGCCAAAAGAAAACACATGAAAGGCGTCAGACCCTAGTTCAGAATGAAATACAGTGTTGCTGGAAACGTTTATACCATGGTATATCTTACCTACAAAAGTCTGCAATAGGTTTCTTCACCTATATATAGCAGTTATAATTGTCTCGTCAACCTGACTTCACTCAAGATCATGTTGAAGATTTTTTTTAAAAAGTTATTAAAATAAGCAAATTTTTTAGTTTATTTGATGACGATGATGGGCAAAAAAAAAAAAAAGAGGGAGATCAGGTGTCCCAATTTTGATATAATCAACAAATCGCTTAAAGCAGCTTGGATTAAAAGACTATCCGCTCTTGAATGCGCTAGAAATCACTTATCTGCCATTTGACCTGAGAGGCGTTAGAGGAGAATCTTTTTGGATTATAATTTCACACTAAAAACTCTTCGCATCTATTTGGTTTACAGTTATTTTACAAGGACGTGCTCGATGTATGGCAGAGAATTTTTGCTCACAGTCCCTTTAGCAAGCATGAGGTGGAAAATAAGATTATTTGGAGCAACCAATTTATTACAATTTCGGGAAAGACGATATGCTAGCTATCGGTCGTGGTATGAAACTGGAGTTGAAGTCATGAAGATCTCATGACTGAGGAGGGAAATTTAATGACACGTAATGTTTTCCATCGTAACGCACTTTTAGCAATGTTTGCAGCTTTTAAATGCTATCAGCACGAGCTGGAAAAGATACACTGGATAAGAATATAGCTCCGAGGAAACTAAAAATTAACTGCGAAAATAGCATTGCTGATACACAAATATTTCAAGTAAGACGCTAAGACAAATTCTGACAAAAACGATTTTTGAGAAGCCCACCTAGGTGGGAAAGCTTGAAATGGCAGGTTTTTCTCCTGAGAAAATTTCAAATATCTATGATTTTCCTTTCAAGCTAACTCTCGACGTCAGAATGTCATTTTTTCAATTTAACCCTCGAACGTACAAGGGAGTAAAGGGGTGGATGCCAAGCCCATAA